AAAACGACCCTATTTATATGAGACTTTCGAGAGTTCTGATCTGGTTTTCCAAAGATCTCCTCAAACACCAACTTGGAAATTTTTTCCGAAACTCGTTTCCGCTTATAGAAACACGGGTCCAGGTCTCCAGTTTCTAAAACTGAAAACCGCACCTCTCTATCTATTACCTACCAAAAGTTATTCAAAACGCAACCGATGCTCTTGTATTTTGGAACGGATAGTAGGTTTGTATTACGTTCTTAGGTACGTAAGAACATTTAAATACAAGAACCTTCTCTCCTAATATATTCTATATCTAGGCTCTCAGGTTCTTGGGTTCTTGCACCTTGAAAATGGATCTAAAAATTTTGGGTTCGTACGAACATAGATACAAGAACCTTTTCTCCTAGTATATTTTGTATCTAGGTTCTTAGTTCTTGCATGTTGAAAACGAACCTACAACTTTTAGGTTCGTACTACGTTCTTAGGTTCGTACCGAGTATGTTATACAGCATTTGCCGGATTTGGGCTATGACACTCACTACCACGAACACCCGCCCCGCCCGGTCCAATTTAGTAGAAGAAATGGTTCTGGTATCTAACTGCTGGTGTGAACCTAAAATGTTCGTACGAACCTGAACTTTTTAGGTGCGTTTTCAACACGCAAGAACCTAAAAAGCTAGATATAAAATATACTAGGAGAAAAGGGTCTTGTATCTAAATGTGAGTACAAACCTAAAACGTTAGTACGAGCGTAAAATTTTTGGATTCGTTTTCACCGTGCATGAACGCAGGAACCTAGAAACCTAAATGAAATATACCTTATCTCGGAAAGTTTAGGTTCGTCATGTACAGTGAAAGTAGTAAGAATTTTAGAGTCGTTACAAAGAAGAATTCCTCATCCTATGCAACGTTTCAAATTACGTTGACTGTTTTAGCAACCAATTGGGTCTAATTTGGAAGAACAATCAAATAGTTCTACAGATGTACTTTCTAATCTGTTTCGTGACAATGATAGAATGTTTGAAAAATTGTTAATGCAGCCAATATCAGTTATTCTGAGTTTTAATCAACAATCAGCAGCAGAAGAAAACCGAGAACAGTTAAGAAGAATACAAAAGCGTGGCAGACGTATGTATTTTTACGTTAGAAGCACAAAATTCAGTTAAGTAAACTACTTTTTTCTCATTTCAGAGTGTTTATGGAAAGTGTGTATTTGGACATTACACAACAAACGTGCAATTTATAAAAACAAAATTAACATGCGTAATCACTCTTATATGTGAAAATCAATCGAACATACAGACGAAGAAGCATATCTCGTATGAAATTCTATTTTACAATTTGAAAAATTAATTCGCAATGATTTTTGACAAAAGCCGTTCAATCAAATTAAATTCTTTATTGAAACGTCTATTGAATAATCAATAATTTTCTCGGTGATTTACTGGAAAATTGATACACTATCAATTGTTAATGATATAAAAGATAATTATAACTTTTAGTTATCATTACCTTTATAGTTTTTTTAGAATTTCTACCACTAATAAGTGTATTTGTGATATTCTTCTACTAAACATCAGTAGTCTCATACATTATCGAAATAAAAATGTCTCCATCAGCTTTTAACCAGAAAGATGTGAATACTTAGTCATTCATTCAATCCATGTTGAATAATTCAATAACTTGTTACTTTTTTGTAGTTTTATTTCCATAAATTAATCATTAAGTATTTCATCATTCAGACATAAAACATCAATCAACCGTGCAAAATTTCCATAAAATACAATAGATTATTTCTAAATAGATGTCAGACATTATCTAAATAGCTTTCTAGAAATCATTTAACTGGGACGACCTACGAAACGTGAATCCTGCAGTGTTATGTGATTCAATAGGAACAAATTGCGTTGAATGGTGTGACAATCACATTTCTTCCTCGGGTGTGTAACAGATGAGTCTTACGTAATTCGAGGCAGTGTCTAAGATTTCATCTTATAGGTGAAAAACTTAAAGAAAAGTTCGTTCAATAGATAATTCAATCCACTACAAAACTATGCAGCTACATGTTGTGCTTGTGACCTCTGTTGCAGCCTGTAGTACGATATACAAAAAAGCCGAAACACTCCATTTATCACTACCGCCCCACATCATTACTGGTTTCCAGAAATACTTGATGTATGACCAAATACATGAATCAATAGAAAATTTCTATATTGAGTCAAAGAGAACCGTATGCTCTTTCGGTCTGACTTGACTTTGTATGTTTGCAGAGATTTTCTGTACTACAGATTACTGGGCGGAGATAAAGGGTTTAGTGGAAGCTTATTGTCAAGGAACATACACAACTTCAACAGTAATCAACCCAGAATCATTATCCCATAAGTAATGCATAAAAACATAGCTTATCGACTATACTGGATCTCGTGGCAGTGTTAGTTTTCAGGACAAAATGTAAGAATCGAGAGAAAATCTATACTAAGTGAAATAATCCACTTTTTCACCATTATTTTTAATCAAAAATTAAAAAGTTCGTAACTCGGTCAAAATCCATCCAACCTACTTCAGAATGTTAAGAAATAGTTTTTTTGATCTGCAGTATACCGTAAAGCTCAATAAATGTTCAGAAAACCAACAGAAAATACTGTGGCTTTTAGAAAGGTTTTTCTGACACCTTCGGAACTAAGAGAATATTTCTTATTGATTTTACATACAGAATCAGAATGAGCGGATAAAATAGAGTATTTGGTGACATTCTAAAGTAGTTGGATGGATATTGACTGAGTTATGAAATTTTTAATTTTCGATGAAAATAATCGAAAGTGGGTTATTTCACCTAGTATAGATTTTCACTTAGTACATTGACGGTTGATTGATGTTTTATGTCTGAATGATGAAATACTTAATGATTAATTTATGGAAATAAAACTACAAAAAAGTAACAAGTTATTGAATTATTCAACATGGATTGAATGAATAACTAAGTATTCACATCTTTCTGGTTAAAAGCTGATGGAGACATTTTTATTTCGATAATGTATGAGACTACTGATGTTTACCAGAAGAATTTCACAAGTCTCCCAAAATGATCAATATTTTCCTATCTGAATTGCAGAAAATTCCAGCTAGTTTTGCAAAGATCCTCTGAAAAACCGGCTTCGAAAATTTTTTCGAAAATCGATTTTGGTTGTAAAAAGGTAGCCTCAAGTGTTGACTATCGAATGGTAAAACCGCAAGCCTCTACCTTTATTTGATGCTGAGTTATTCAAAAAATGACCACTTCTCTTCTATTCTGGAACGGATAGTAGTTATGAGGCTCGCTAATTGTCTGTCAAACTAAACGCAAAACGCTACAGACTTGCGATTTCCACCATTCGATAGTCGACACTTGACAAAAACTGTTCATAAATAACACGTTTTTTAAATTATATCTCAGGATTTTCTCAAGGCTCTCTGAAAAACCATTTCATAACTCGAGAATTTAACATGGCCAAATATTAGTTTTTTTATATGAGTAGATAGTCCAAAGTGTCCTCTTCAAAATGGGAATCGAACGATCTTTCAATTATGCTGTCGAAAACTCCTAGTTTTTTCATCACACATAGCCGTTACAAAGTTCTAGGCGATTTTATTTTGAAGAAAAAGTCTAGGACTACAATATTAGAGAGAGGAATTTTCAAATATTTTTAGTAAGCATTGGCTTCAAAAACCCCACAGAATTCTGTCGAATTTTTAATTAAAAACTAAAAGAAAAATCAAAAATTCGGTTCTGTGACATTGTCATCCTAATTTTTCTCTTTAAAAATCGGTTTGGTGAAGAACGAGAAACAAGTTCAGTCTCTAAAAGATACGTTCTCTGGCCAAACTATTAAACTCTTTCACTGGGTCTGATGATTTTTGACGCCAAGCAGTTTTACAGCGGCGTTTCGACGCCTTGCATAGCTCTTTACAAAACTCCATGTTTTAATACTTACCATATCAAAAAGTTTTACTTTTGCTGCTTGCTCTGCTCAGCTATATGTTTTAGTAAAATCGAATTTTGTGGCTAAAATCGTCGTTTCTGCCAATAAAAGGACGATAATCTGAGGTAACAACAAAAGTCTTGCTGTTACCATTGCAATGGAATGGTTGAAAGAAATATTTAAATTCGTGATAACATAAGGTAAACGATAACAAAAACGATAATCTTTTCCATTAATTTTCTGTAATTCAGATAGAAAAACATTGATCATTTTGGGAGACTTGTGAAATTCTCTGTCATTAGTATGACAGAGAAAACTATTTTAAAAAGTGAAAAAATCGTGTGTTTTGTAACGAAATGTCGATCATGCCTTGGACATGAAGGGTCACCAGCACGAACGGTTTTAGGGTTTTCTTCGTCTCATCAAAGTCTACTTATGGTCGAAAGATAGAGTCGACAAGAAGGAATTAGTTGGGCCAGTTTCCTCGTCAGTATGAAAAGAAGGTGAATGGAATACAATTTTAGAATTCAAATTTTGGATAAAGCGAAGCATAATAATCAGGTTGGTTGGGATATCAGTGAGATGTGAGAATTGGCAGAAAAACTATTAATGATATGATATTACAATTGTCACTACTAGAAATCGTTTTTATTACTTTTGACCAAAGCCATATGAAGAAATAATATAGTTCTTAATTAGCATAGTAAACACTACAAACTCAGCTATATTCCTTCAAAACTAGAGTCCAGAGTTGGTGCACCTCCTCTTTCATCGGTTTGGGTACTTGTAACAAAGAAAACGATTCACATAACAAATCAATAATCGGCAGAACGATTGGAATTTATCTGTTGTTTCACTTATTGGATGGTTAGGGTCTGACAGTTTTAGGAAACTCTATTATTATTTTTTTTCGCGAAACTTCTCTCTAAAATTCATTTATATTGTAAATAAAATGTGCAAAAGACAGCGTTCCTGAAAGTGTAAAATTTTAAAAGATAATGAGATTATATAATAATATAGGTTAGAATAAGAGAAGAAAATCACTGAATGAGTACCACATTAAAGCGAAGCACGAGAACTATTTTCGTTATGTTGTTGAATATCAACATGAACAAATAGTGTTGAGTGTGAGAGATCATCATCTTCCTCACGTAAACGAACATGACGATAGCCTAAAGGAATACAGCAACTACAGTAGTAAGCGTGTGACCCATTAAGTTCTTCAATGTTTAGAATACCTTTTTGAATTGTGTTCATGGGTACACAGTACTGTCCAACAATATCATCCGAACTAAATTTGTCACTGTCAAGAACAACAAATCGAATCAAGCATAATTGCGGTACAGCGATATCAAATTCCATTCGATGATTCCACATAGGATTAAGACCTTCAAGCAAACAGAAGCCACATTATTGACGTAAACGTAAAAAAATTATATACTGACATACCATTATTGTTAATAACACATGTCTTTTGATTTTGGTTATCGCATGGAACACCATGTGTGTAAACGCGTACATACGGATCAATTAAATCTTTAATGGCTGTATTTACTAAATATTGTGCGCTTATTATTGTTAAGGTTAAATGCCACGGTTTATCGTGAATAGAAGATAACGTTGAGGTTCCTGGATTAGCGACATCACATGAAAATGGATTAAATCCACTATCAGCTGAAAAGAGATTGGGATAAGCTTTCCTGTGTACAGAGTAATTAGCAGCAGGGTTTGATTTTCACAATGATGATTTCTGGTGGACGATGAGATGAGAGTGAGCCCCACCCTTATATTCGTCAGCGTGCAAAAAAACAGTAAGATACCTTTGTGTCTGTATATTTAGATATCTGACGAACTGAACATCTTAATATCTGAATATCTAAATATCTAACCATTTGACTGTCAGAATATCTGAATATCTGAACATCTGGACATTATGCAGTTGCAGATGTTCACAAATCGGACCGGTCTTGTAGTTGGAGTAAGACTTCTTTGGATTCTACAAGATACGTGTGTCCGCTCCTGATAGAGTCACATGGGGTAATTCTGAAAATCGCCTAAAACTTTTCAGATATATTGAACATATTTCACCCCGAGAAAATCAGTATTATGCAGGCAAATAGAGCTGACTCTTAGCTATCTACTGATGTAAACATTTTCCTAAAATTCGTTAACATTAATTAGTTCTAATCAATTTCCAGTGAATAGGTTTAGAATTATCATAATTTCCTCATTTGGGATAATCGTGATAACACAGCTATTTTTCATGGGGTAATTATGATAACCACAGCCAAAATAGCTGTAATGAACTTGAATCAATTAGTTTCAACAAGAAACTTGGAATAAATTAATTAAAAAGTATATCATCTTGTAGAGAATTATTTGCTCTATCTCCCGTATGAATTATCAGTCATTTAGACTTAATTTAAATTATTTAATTAGAAATTACGAAAAGTAAAAGACATAGTCATTTTTTTCATTTGTCTTCTTTGGGATAATTATGATAACACAGCTATTTTTCATGGAGTAATTATGATAATCCCGTGTAAATCACACGGGGAGATAGGAAAAAAACTTCACTGTCTCACAGAACCCAATTTCTATGCTATACTAAATGACAAAGTTGTTCAGAATCTTGTAATCTACCACATATGTAAAAATTGCGAAAAGAAAACGAGTATTTTCGACAAATAATGGGCATATAATAGAGCTAGAGTATTTTAAACGCATTTTTGTACATTCAGATTAGTAGAATCATTAAGCTACAACCTAAATTAGCAATTAGATCAACGATATTTGAAACTTTTAATTATTTTACTTAGCAAAGAATTGATGACAGCCTGAAAACTCTAACTTCGTAAAACTCGCTTTCCGGTAGATTTTTAAAAGTTTTCTAAAAGCAAATATTTCCACAAGACTTAACATGGTCGATTACCCATAGTTCATCCATCTTCAAGCCTACCCATAGTCACCGGATGTCCTCAAGTCTCATCTTTCGAATGATGAAAACCAGAGCTCTCTGCCTCTTTTCTGTCAAAAGTTATTCAAGAAACAGTCGTATGCCATTTTTCGGCTGTATCAAATTATCCCAAAGAACACAAATGAAAAAAATGACTATGTCTTTTACTTTTTATAATTTCTAATTACGTAATTTAAATTAAGTCTAAATGACTGACAGGAAAATGTTTACATCAGTAGATAGCTAAGAGTCAGCTCTATTTGCCTGCATAATACCGATTTTCTCGGGGTGAAATATGATTTAAATATGCTCAATATATCTGAAAAGTTTTAGACGATTTTCAGAATTACCCCATGTGACTCTATCTTTACTTTGAAAATATGTTACTTACGATTAGTGAGAAAATCGGGTTTCAAAACATAACCGCATCCTCCGTTGTCTAAAAATCGTCCATAGTTCAATCGCATGTGTTCATCAAATGTTTGATAATTCATCGCAGCTGAAATCAATCATATAAAAAAAATAAAAGTGTTAAGGCGAATGAAATTCTGGTTTTAAAATGTGGATTGTGATAGTAGTCTATGCGTTACCAGGTAATGGGAAAAGAAATAAAGAACGAGATTTTAAATAAACTCAGTTTCAAAAAATTCAAGTGAAAGCTACAGCTACCACTTAACACTCTGCGTGCGTTTTTAATGGAGAGGAAGGTGACATATCAACTTCCAATAAAAATTATAAGCGGTCTGTAAAGTGGGAATTAGAATGGATTTCTTTTGTTTTTTTAATATTCTAAGTAGGTCTTACCCATGTGTACTCCAAAAATCCACATATGCATTGGATTGTAGTTACTTGAATTTTGGCGTATCCCGCCTGGATATGTCCTTATGATTCGATACTGTGTCTGTTTGATAAGACCCAATGCATCCTTTTCAACTGCATTTTTAAATTTACTTTCACCCAATGATGATGTCTGGCAACATGAATCTATATCAAACATGTACATCTATTTTACTTTCTCGATACATATGAAGTACTTACAGTGAGTCTGGGCATATTCAAGGCCACGAAACGGGACATTCCGCATATAAATCAGAAGTTGTGCAAAATCAAGATCCGTCAACTAAACCATCAAGAAGATGAAAAAAGTGTTTGGTATAGAAAGAGATAAAGAGCATACTTCACTCAATGGATCAGCTGGCGAATCATCTTCATCTTCTTCTTGCGGCGTTTCTGTTGTTGGCGGCGTTTCTGTTGCTTTCGTAGCTTGTGCTATCTGTCTACTCTACAAGAACGCACAGAAATAAACATGAGATACAATAAATAGCCTATACTCACTCGTATTAAAACTTTCTTTTTTAAAGCTTCTGGTGATGGCAATACAGATGGATTCGTGGTTGGTAAGGCTTCTGTTAGAAGATATTCTAAATTGAACAAAACTCGAACGATTAATAATGAAAAAATTATGAGATTTTCTACCTTGTAATATTTCTTTTAGAACGCGTGCCATTTCTTTTTGCTGCGAAATTGAGCAATGATTCTCGATATTTAGTATCACAGGATACCTAGCAGAAGAAAAAGTTTTCTTTTGTGAATGAGTTTAAAATGTTGGGATTTCAGTATAGTAAAAAAAATTGTAAATAATATTTGAGCTGAAGATACGTCTTTTATAAAGATCATGTGTGTACTGAGAATCGGTTCTGCTTGTTCTTACTCCGATGCTTTCCAAAGATTTGGCTTTATTGTCTGGATGATTGTTTCAAACAAACATGGACTAACTAAGGTCCAAGCATGCTTAACAATCGGTCTGCCATCATAACCATCATAACAATCAACTAAAAATAATGAAAAGTAAGGAAAACCTCTTATACTACAAAACGAAACTACAGTGGCAAGAAACAGCTTACGCTCAACAGCTCGTCCTCCTTTTAACAAAACACGATTATATGCTTCAGCGTTGCTGTCACCATAAACTTGACTTTGAAATAAATATCTGAACAAACAGTAACAACTTATTTTCTATTGCAAGTTAGCCCATGTTTTATCTTACGTATTATGAGATGTATTTATGTAATAATCTGTCAATGGTCTAGAGGATAAAGGATCACATCTTACAACAAGCAAAATTGATATTTTTTCTCTTATACTTCGTCATATCTTGATATGGTTGACGTGCATACGATGGATTCATTAAATCAAACTCTTCACTCAACATTAAGTTTCGAAAACCTTGGAGAAACAGGTCAATTCGTAAAAGGGTCATTTATCGCTCAGTTTTCTTCTTGCATACCATCAATGCCTAATAAATGTTGACTTTTCAATTCCAGATCCATTTCATACTGTTCGATCATCGCTGATGCACGCTCACTCGTGACAACGTGTTCCTAACACATGAACAAGTCTTCAAGATCGCACTTAGACTAATCACATTAAAAAGGATTCTACCGAATTTAAAAATTTGAAAGTATCAAAAAGCTGAATAGCACGTTCGATAGAGAATTTTATTGCACATCTAGTCATATATAATTTTTGGTTTGAAACTATGATCGTTTCTCAAAAAATAATTTTTTAAAATGTTCGACCATTTACTGACATGAGATAAAAAACGTTTATCAACTCAGTTAGCAAGTTTAGTGAAGATATGATTTATACTGAATTTTGTAGAGTGGAAAACGCAGTATAAACTGGCGATAAAAGAATTAAAAGAACATGGTTATTGTTTGAGAAAAACATATTTTTCTAGCAAAATTTGAAATTTTCATTTTTTATACGATTTACTAAAATTTCTGTAGCAGGTCAAAGAAATACAGCAACACTCCCAAACTTTGTCAAAAATTGTCTGACACAACTCTATCTAGCAACACAATTTGAGCCTTTGAGAGCGGCTGTATTAATAAAACAATCAGTCCACTATAAAAATTTCAGAAACAATTCTGCAAATCAGTCTAGTTTTTTCTTTGAAACGATGGAGCCAAATTTTTGCATTTCATTAGAACCGTCATTAAACGAACTTTAAAAGTACATATTGCTTTTTTTCCATCATGCTTTGTCCTTGAGAAAGTTCATATTTTCTAGATCAGGAGCGCAAAAATCGAAATTCTGCCGGTATTCTCTATTTTATTCATCAGGACTCACGTTTTATTTAATATAAATATTATATTCAGAATCAGCGTCATAAACTAAACCGAATTATATATATTTCGAAACTTTTTGTTGGTTTTCCTTTCTTGGTGAAAATTTCAGCAATTTTTCAATGTAAAAATTCAAAAAGGTCAGAGTAGTCGGACAGACTAACGAAGTATACCTTTCGATTTAGTTTATGACGCTGATTCCGAATATGATATTTATATTAAATAAAACGTGAGTCCTGATGAATAA